GTCCATACATTTTTGCCCAATGTCCTATAATCTAGAATCAATTATCCTGTTATAATAATTCAGATCGAACTTTACTTGGGTAATTTCGTTTAATCATGACATTATATCTGTGTTATAGTTTACTCTAAAGAATTCTGGTATGAAAGAAGTCGGCATAGTCTATCAAAATTTTATCATATTATTTTATGTCAGTAGACGAAAATACGAATATTCTCAAATTTTAAAATTTAATTTCAAATAAGCTACTACAAAAATGCAATGATATTAAGAGACCCATAATCCACAGCCTGATTCATTTAAATACAAGTTTTTCTGTCATCACGTTACTTTCGGGCATCGGGAATTGATATAATGGGATAAACTTCGTTATCAACCAACAAAGATAAATTTTGTACTTGTGATTCTAGAAAACATATTGGATTCGCACAGTGCTGGTGACGTCATTAGCCATTAGAAGTTAGCTCTTTTTCTTAATTTTCATAAACTTATTACCGATGTTTAACATCGGCTAATGACTGTCCGAAACTGTACACTGTCCGAAACTGTACACTGTCCGAATCCAGTATGTTTTCTAGAATTATAAGTACAAAAAATATCTTTGTTGGTTGATAACGAAATTTATCCCATTATATCACAATTCCCGATGCCCGAAAGTAACATGAACATGATTGACAGAAAAACTAGTATTTAAATGAATCAGGCTGTGTTTATAACTCTAGTGACCAAGATAAATATGTTGTACGAAATGTCACATTTTTTTTTCTGAGTGTCACTGTACTTAAGGCTCCTTGTAAATTGATAGAATCAAAGCGGGCTAATTTGCAAAGTTTGCACAGATAAATTTTGTGAATTCGTACTAAAAATATAAAAGTTTATATTATTCAATATTAACTTTGTTATTTGCGATAATGGTTCCCTATTGAATTTTCATCTTGATATTGTAACAGCCTCTGGATTTTAATCTATTCTGATTATTAATCACTAATTGGCTCGGAGTTGTTGTTTCAAAGTTTAACATGAAGTTGGTGAGACGAGCTCATCGTTTGGTAGCATAGCACCTGTACGAGATTTGCTTTATTCAAACATAAGATGGAGTTGCGTATTCTACTCAGATATTGGTCATACCTATCATTAAGATAACAAGAACTTGGAAGCATTTGTATGAGTAGAAAGGAATAGTTATGTCGATGAGTTGAGTAACTAATGCGGACTAACATAAGTTTGTTTTGCACAGATAAAATTATGTAGAGTGTGGTTGTTCAAATTAAAGCCGTAACTTATATAAAATTACAGATATAAATGCATATAAAACATCTACCTCGGAACTAACTTAAAGTGAAATACTATTCTTGTGTTTTTAAAGCTTTCATAAACCCAAAAATGCTATGAAGTCGTCGTTTGAGCTTCCGTTTTATTTGCAAGAAAGCAAGTGAATTTCAAATTTATAGCTGTTTATATGTAGTTGATTTTTATTCGTTGAATTTGGGGTTTCGTGCCAAGGTGTCGGATGTGCAAGTCAAAATTTCATTTATGAAATAACGCTATTGCGGAATCGCTGATTTATTTGATACCGTATTCAAGACATCCATTAAATTTTACTGAAGAAACTTTTGGGACTGCATCAAAGTTAATGCCTGTAAAATTGTGTTCTTTCCACGGGTTATCACAAATAGATCGTTGATTATAATTTTGTAGACGATTAAATAACCATTAATGATGAAATTTTCATCATTATTGGTTTCACGATGTCCCATTAACATCGCATTAAGATTCCAAATGATTGAATAAATATAATAAGCACGTTTACGCCATAATCCCTTCCGGGGTTGGCAGTAATAATATAATATGTGCGACAAGACAATGCGCCGAGTAAATGTTAGTTATATATTTTATTGTTACTTGACACCTCACTGCTTTCTGTATTTCCTTCTGCGAATCCCATATTATTTGTCGTTCTAATTGTCTCTTGAGTAGGTACTGCGAAATAATCTACCTAGTTAGCAATTTGGTTTGTGAATAAAATGAGCTTTGCAACCTTCTTGCGTAGCGTAATAAATGGATATGGTTTTAAATTGATATTATACGAATAACAACACATACAACTTTGTAGGCTCTGAAAATGTTCCATGACGAACTACAATAAATGAACTTTTGATGGCCCCGTACCAGTACATGCTGAACGTATCGATGGCTTTCAATAATAATCAATATCGCTCGGCGTATGTCGAAACAGTGTAGGTACGCTTAGTAGTAGCACTATATTGTAGGTTTAATTTGAACTGAATAGAATAATTCAGGTATTTGCAATATATTCGCCTCATCACTATTTACTGACAGACAACATGTGTCTGTAACGATTTAACTTAATTTTGTATCTTATTCAAAGTAAAAGCCTTATTTAACCTGAGACTAAACGAATTGGCGTGTGCTGTTTTGAATTTATTTCACTGCACTGTGCTCTCCGACAGGTGTACGGGATTCGAAGAATTCTAAAATGCAATGCATTCAGCTCTCTCACCTTCAATTTGGATTGCCAAATAATGGAAACGAAACAATAAGCTTATTTTCTTTATTTGCGCATATGTTTAGCAGTCTAACGGTAACAACTAGTCGTCTTCTTCGTATTATAATTTGTCCTGATGAATCGACGGTGGAAAAGCAAATTAGTTTAATCGCCAATTTAGTGTTTGCCTAAAAATTAACTTACGTACCTAATTACTTATAGGTACGAGTTCGGTTGTACCATATAACGTGACATGTTGTAGCTAAATTGCGTTTACTTATGTATCAATATAAAATGTCACTTTAGTATAATAATAAGATATACATAGTGCTTTCAATTGTTACCAAACAGCAATATCATAGCTCAGTAATATAACTCTCAAGTTTTTCGCATACATAAATTTTACTAGCCACGAAATAAGAAAGAATAGTGGTATTCAGTTTCTACTGAGAACAGAGAAGTCGTACATCATTTTGCCTACTTCCATTAGGATTGTCATAAATAGCGGACAAAATGACTCGCTGGCATCACTCGGCGTGGTGAGTTAGTGATTCAAATTTCCCATCTCATTCCATTATGTGGATATGTAGTAGGGTAGAGGAACTGGTATGAGAACATAATTATATATCAACTTATACCTGAGCGTTAAATTTTGAGAATAATAACAGTTCGGATCTTTAATAGAGTTCCCATACAAAACTAATTGTAAGTTTCCCTCAAACTACCTTTTAGTCATAGCAGTGCTATGACTTGTTACTGCACGGTTATAAAATTGAGGTAATATAAATTAAAGAGCTTCCATAAAATCAGGCGAATTCTGGAAAATATTTTGCTGATTTAAACCTATAGGGTGCATTACGATAATTACAGTATTTATAAATACGACTGTTTTTATTTTTATAGGAACGGCTTATTTTTATATATTAAAACACATTAGTAATTTTAAGTAGGTAGGAACCATTTAACGATCGATGTTTGATGACTGTTTGCGCTATTAAATGAAAAATATTGAAGTATTCAAAGGAGTTCTACTGATTGCAATTTTATGGTTCGCTTTTACTATCCACCATTACATTTTTTTGTTATGCTACGATGGCAGCGTAAAAAAGTCCTCTAGTTATATTAAGACTGACCTAGTTTAGCTGGTGAAATCTGGAGGAATTGGCGATACTGAAGCTCAAACCTCGTATCACGTATGTTTAAGTTCCTAAGTTGAAACGATTTCATAGTATGACCTGGTTACCTGTATCGTTTTTGTTTGAAATGTCTCAACTCCGGTACCGGGTAGCCATGTTAAACCTGTAGTTTTCTACAAGGGGTTATTTTAAAGCTTGAATTTGTATCCGCGTTGAGTTCATCGTTATTGTTTTCGATTTCCATAATAAGAGCATCAGGTGGTGTCCTTGAGATAAAAGAAATAGTAGAAGTCATAATGGATCCTTTAACGTTTATTCATATTGTGATCGACGGTCATTTCACTAAGATCGTTCAAAACTTCTGTTACGATCGATCGAAGTGCATCTAAGATCTCACTTCATATCCATAAAAAGGAAAATAAAAAAAGTTCTTACTGCAGGGAAATGTAATAAAATAAACTTTTATAAAAAGCAGATAAGATAATTATATTTCTGCAGTATAATCATGGTGCCGTTAATAACTTTTGCATTTGCCTGATTATCAAAGAGATTTTATGTTGAAGCTACTAACAACAATTTTTCTCTTATAATTGGAACGGAGTTATCGATGCTGTCGTTCTTTGTTCAGAGACTTTGATATCCTCAACTTGTATATAAAATATCTTATTATTACACTATTCTGTTAAGTTTGCACGCTGTTCAACAATTCTCGTCATTAGTTCCACTATATCTGTTAAATCTTATTATAGATTGTAATTTTATATCGAAATCATGCATTGACTTGAATCTGTTCTTTCATCTTCTTAATCAGCGTAAAGTCAGCCTAATTGTTAGTAATAACTATATAGCTTAGACTACATTTATTTCTCCAATATTTACTATGTTATTCGCTTCCTCCGATACCTATCATTTATATTATCTTACCCGGGTAGTCATATTTTTCATTCACAATAATCATTAGTGGCTTCAAATTGTATCGTTGTGATTTCTCGATACTCGTTTGGGAAAGCTCGGAATGAATTTTAAATATCAGATTTTATCATACAAAAAACGTATATCAATCATGCAAAACTCTGCAGCAAATGCCGCACTAAGAATATAAGTCAGGATAAGGAGGCGTTATTCTTACCGCTGCATCAATTGGCCATCAAGATAAAAACCGATCGTTTGATTCGAATACAATCGCATTATTTTGCAAGTAATGGGCTCACTCAATTCTCTTGTACTGGTCTGAACGCTAATTTGTAATGAAAAATTATAATAACGATTATAGAAGTTTTTTCGTCCTTGATTAACTTTATATTTTTATAAATATCTTCTGGGGGCCACAATTCCTAAATTACTTAATTATATTTGTTCAGGTGTACTACTATATAGTGGACTCTCCGCGCAACGAGGGAAAGGATTTCTTCGAGATCAGCATGCAGACCGGCGAGATCTTCACGAAGGTGGTGTTCGACAGAGAGAAGCAGGGAGCATACGCGTTGGAAGTGGAGGCGAGAGACGGCGCCCCATCCGCGAGGCCCAACTCTGACAACCAACCAAACTCAGGTGAGCCATGCTTTCTGCTGTCGTAATTTTGGCTATAGGTCTTCATGTAAAGCTTGGATGGCAGGACTGATGCTATTCCTCACTCAAAATAGGCGCAGAGTATCGAGTTGCGCAACATAACCCGCCGTAATACTAAGACTAGATCTTGATGTGAAGCGGATTGAGTCCAGATAATATTTTAAACTATCCATTTAGAATATGGTTTAAAAAGGTTTTTCTCTATTTTTTATATATGAAGTAAATTTTACTGGGAAGAAATTAAATTATTTCAGGCATCAGACAGGATTTTGAATCCGCTCACAGTCCGTGCGAACTTACTACGAATTCATTAAATTTATTAGAGTCAGGCTAGAATGAGTGTTTTTATTTATTGATTTTCAATTACTTGGAAATAATAATACTGCGCATAATAATTTAATTAACTGATGTGTTATCCTTTGATACGTAAATTAGGCATTTGGAAATGGCTACGTGCCATTTAATACATATTAGTTAAGACACCAGCTTAGTATAACGTACACAAATGTATAAAATATTGGTGATTCATATATATGCGTTTAGGTATACCTTAATGATTCAAACGAAATGTGTTTTTCTTGTTGGTATAAATTACGGCTTTATTCGAGATCTCCAGCTGTAATATTGCGTAATCGGCCTATACAGGTCTAACTCTAATTACTTATATTGTTAATGGACAATAAGTTATTATAAGCTATCCCCGGTTACCAATAATGAGATAATCGACATTTGGTGTAGTAGATTTCTGTTTTAAGCCACGTTTTATTAGCGCAGCTCTTAACTTTAATACTTTAACGTCATACAGACGTGAAAATTTTGTTCCGAACGTGTTTTTCCCAAATGGTTGCAAAAGCAAATGTCTGTTGATGAAACTGTCATTTGTTTTAGAATTGAACGCTTAGATGACCTGAAAATTTGAACGCGAGCTTGGATTTAGGTGATTTTTGTAAAAGTAACACCTAATGCGGGGATTTCCACTTTTCCAAAAGTTTGGGCAATTCATGAATGTCGATTCTAGTCATGATTCCCCGCTATAAAATCTGGGTAAAGCCCGGCGGCCATGGGCAAAGTTTTTTAACAAAATAAGCGGTATCTTTGTATTTTCTAACTAAAGTAAATTCAAAATAGGTGTTGCGTTGAAAATCTTTATAAGATATTTTATTCTTTAAAAATACAGCGGTCCATAAAATACTTTTGAAGTCCTCATTTTGCTCCTGATATTTATGTGTAGCATATCTACATATATAGTTCGTAGTATCTAGTAGAAGAAGCTGAAGCTTAATAATATGTTTTCCAAGAATTTACGCCTTGATATTTTCATGGAATTCTGGACAATAAAAACTAATAGACATACGTTTGAAATCCTGTTTTTATAGTAGAAAGCCATGTTTTCCTCCACGAAGGAAAGGTCGTTTACCGAAATTTCCGGTCAGTTACATTCGTTTTGCCAATAATGACGTAGCTTCCTGCCATCACTTACGAGGTTGCCCCTTTCAAAGCTTATTGAGTGCTACCGCGCCCGTTATAATAATTTGTGTATTTGTGTAGATAGTACTAGGTATATACGGGGAAGATATTTAGGCACCAAGTTTAATGTATTTTTTTCATAGCAAAACGATGGAGATTACATTTTTATGCAGACTGCTAGGAAGAAAAGTGAACTGCTCAATTCAGTTCCATAGATGTCGGGTAGGAAGGCGGAGGCGCCGTCTCCGTTTCGGGCTAATCACTTACATGACCCGCATTCAAATTACTTTCCACTGTCGTTCCGAACGTTCTTCGGGAGCATTTAACCATACAAATGGCGTTGGACTGCCTGTGAAGTATCGACCCTCTTTAATACAGATATTGACATTTGGCCCATATTTCATAGTTTTCTCCGTTGTCCAGAATTGATTGTATAGCACGCGTGACACTATAAATTGTATGTTTTCGTATCGGTTGTCTAGGTAAGGGAGATTGGCGAATCCTTGCCGTATCGCGTCATCGTAAATCAAGCTGCGGAATAATCAGGCGCCTCGAGCCGTAATCCGGTACAGCTCCTCATCCCTGTAGATGTCTCACGTGCACAATGGCAAATTTCAGATCCTTGTCCTATTTAATACATGCCGCTTCAGTGTGCTTGTATAATTTGTACACAGACATAATTCATACGGCACAATAAAACGTTCGAACTGAGTACATCCCGGCCGTAAATTTATATTATCGCTGCTTTGCTTACGTGCCGGAAATACAAACGCAATTCCGGGAACCGATATTTACTTCAGGTAACTATTAAATCAGATGAGATCGATCAGTTGCTTTATTATAAAACAAGTTAACGTTTCTGGGAAGAACTTTTGTTCATAATAAGATTTCTATAATATTTGCTGTCATCTTGTTAAAACTTGAAGCTTACTTGTTTAGAAACTAGAAGATTGTTGTAGAACGTAAGGTACAAAGTATTGCCTGGAAAAAATTTATAGAACGGAACAAATGTGGAATTTGTGGGGATAAGTATTGAGGATATAAGCCACGTAGCGGCCGTGAGCATATTGCAACCCGCAGTGGGTCTGCACTGTGCGGCGCGCATACTAATCAACGCGCGAGCCTTGCACTGCTGCTAGGATACCATGCTGATTCCTCAATATTGGGCGCCAATTACGTGTGATACATTTGCGCCATTCTAATAAATGGACTCGGCAGCTTTTGAAAGAAGTATTTTATCCGCGATGAACTATTTCAATTTGGCATTAAACATCCATCGTTTGCCTTATCAAACTATAACAAGAATTCCACCACCAACGTTCCTTAAACATCAAATCCGATTGGTGTCTTCCTTCATACTCAGTCAAGTATGGCAGATTTCTAATCTCGTATTCTTAAAATCCGAATCGATCGATTGATAAGGCACAGCTCTTAAAATCTAGTAGCATTTTATTACTTTTGATCTAAGACATTAAACTGTAGTATGTTTTGCTTGTCTAATCTAATGGTGTTTATATCGTTTATTATGCGTATTGTATCAAAAACTTCGTTGGCATACGTATTACACTTAAAAACCAGAAAGGCAAAACAAATTTCAAAATAGAACTAGGTACTTAGTTCGTTATGGCCAGAAGTTTTTTTTTCTTTCGCATAAAGGGGTGCTATCCGAAATTAAAAGGAAACGCTTTTAATGGCGGTCGTTATTAAAATAACGAGTTGTGTAATTAAAGTTTTAAAAATAGATTACTCGTGTCTTCTGTGGGGCAAGGTATTTTAATATAACCACGGTACATCTAACAGCTAATGAGATGCGTCGGGGGGAATGTTTTAACTAAAATAATGGTTTGTATGAATGGAAAGTTAACCGTTTATGTAATTAAGTTGAAATGAAATTGCGGACAAACAAAGCGAAGCATCCCTTTGGGGCAGAAAGTTTGAACGTTGTGGTGCTACTTTCAATATACTGGCTAAGGAAATCGCGGAAGCAGAGTGATATGATCTTCGTACCGAGTTGGGATAACTCTAAAGTCACTATTCATATTGAAAAGCTTGCGTTGAGATACCATATAAGATTTTATCTAAGTGTATAATACGTTAGTATTGTTATTATCACGAAATAGACCCATGCCATAGAGTCATGTACGTACATGCCATCTTTAATCAAGAAACGCTAAGGTGGCAGCTTATCTTCAGTCAGTTGTTCATATTCATTGCCTTAATTGAATTAATAAAAACCGGCCAAGTGCGTGTCGTGCCGCACGCAGTGTAGGGTATATGTAGTTGCTCGTCGTCACCACAATACATTTTAAAAAAGAGACGAAAATCTCGAAGTCGAGAAAAATTAGCACTAAAGTTCAATATTTTGCAAATGGATCCCCAAATCGAAAAATAGTCTTAAGAACCCTGAAGTAATTTTAAAGGACCCATGATGGGGAAGACGATGAAAAAATAAAATCATCTAAAGGTTACATACATGTAGGGGAGCTACAAAAAAATAAAAAGCTAAAATTAGAAAAAGTGTTGCCTTCTTAGCAACTCACACCCAGAAGCATAAAAAATATGTTCTTATCCTTCTAGTATATTAGTTAATTTATATTGCATTCAGAGAGTTGAAGATTACGACTATGGATTCAGATACGATGGAGATCGTCTCACTTAACTACCACTACAAACTGTTCTGATTAGAGCATTAGTAAGCTTCAGAGGTAGTCAATTGATGTGTACCTTGTTTGACTACGTATATACACAGGAACAATTTATCTAGGGGGGGATTGATTGAAATCTTATTGACACTGTTTGATAATCGTCTTGAGACTTTGGTTCAAGATATACGATATATATGACGAGTTAACTATGGGACTATTAGTTTACTAGAGATGTATACATGGTATGAGTAGCTCTCTAGATGATATTGTATGAAAACTATTTGGGATACTCGGGCAACAAGCTATATCTCTTGCGGGTATCGCTGAGCATCGATTTTGGCTATAAATGTAAATAAATGTCAGGAAATACAGTGATAGGTTGCTAACCCATTGTGTACTGCATTTAAAAATATATACATATATAAAACCCTGCCCTTTTTCATGGAAAAGTTATCCAGCTGAAAATTGGGCACAATCTTTTTTCTTTCTAACCCAGCATATTAAAAATATTTAGCGGATAATGTTAACAGAAGCTCATGAGTGTTATGTACCTATCTAATACATTTATTTATTTAACGACATGTTTCGAAGGCGTTGAGTGAAATTTAAACTGAATGGATTTTGAAATTACGTTTCAATTTTCCTTGCACGTTACAATGTTACCCATCTTGAATCGATCGGTAACAAACCATAACTTGCATCGTGTATTTCGAATGTTCCATTCTCGATGACCCGTACACAGTTTCGGTCTACCAATTTCATACGGGTCTCTAGTTTACGTTCGCTGTCACTAACACTTAGTTAGCTTCTTAATGGTGATTCATCAGCCGAGTATTTCCGACATAACTGTATAAAATATTTTGGAAAACATAATATGTTGTTCTGAGCGCTGTGTGTGAGTTTACTCGACTTTATTAACTTACTTATCTCATTTATGTATGCAAAAAATTAAATCTAAGCAGCGTCATAAAATTCAAAGTTTCTGCGAATTAATTAATTATTACAATGAACTTTTGTAAAATATAATGGATGATAATAATTATGAAATATATTTAAGGTACATACTTACTCACTTACATTAATAGAAACGGAAATTAAAACCACGAAGATGACGGCTACAGATATGGCGAGTCATCTTATCGGCCACGTAGATGCTTGAAAATACATTGTTTCGGCAATAAATAAATAAATAAAAACGGATCATCAAATACAATGATTCCCT